GGGGGGGGCTGTATTTTTCTCGCATACGATAGCGCCATATGTGGCTGAAGCGGGCCAGCTGCCCGCGCGCACGGCTCCGCGCTCTGCCGTTTAAACCGGACCCGTTGCTCGCCCCGAGGAAGACGAAGAAAATCCCCGCAGGCACCCGCAGGCCACGTATTTTACGGTCCGAGGCCATCGCCTCGGACAGCCACCACGTGCGAAGCGCCCTCGCTGTCCACACGTAAGGCAGCTTTTGACCCCAGCGAAGCTCCAAACGAGCGTAAGGGACAGCGAGAATGGCGTTTCCAGGCTCTCCCAGCCGCGTCTCGGGCATCTTCCTTGGAGCTGACACAAGCAGACCAGGGAGGGGGAACCGGTCTTGGCTGCCGCGGTCCCTGTTGCAGCGGGGGTAGCTTGCCGGGCCCATGAAACGTCCTCTTTGTCTTGGTTCTGAAGAATTCCCAAGAAAAATCCCACCGCGGAGTCACATTCCATCTTGGGATCAGATCTTCTCAATAATACGGAGTTATGTTTGAATGTTTCATTTATCGCCCATTTCCAAAAGGGACGAAGACCACAGACGCTTCCTGAGCTGCTCCGTGCCCCTCTGGTTAAGTAATTCTCTGCAGCAACCGTCTCCCGAGTGCAAAAATACAAAGTTCCTCTCTTGCCCCGTTTCCACAAAGATCCGCAGCACCCTTCTGGGTTTGGTTTGTCCTCCCCCGCTCAGGAACCCGTTACCCTGGGTCCTGCCTTTGCCCCTGAAGGGGACTTCTTTTGAAGCCAGTCAACGCCACGTGTTAAGAAATCTGTTGGTGCTGTCCTTCCTAGCCACCGTGCCACAGCAGCCATCCTTCCTCATTTTCCCACTGATTAAAAAGAAAACCAAAACCAACAACTTTTGAAGTTGGCGTTGTTTTGGTTTTTTTTTTTTTTCTGCAGGGGAAGGGGGAGGAAGAGAAGGGGAAGATTTATGAGAGCGATTATGAGCAGCCTTATTTTCATCACTCCTAGTTTAAAAGGAATCTAGTTACAAAAGAATACATTTTTTTTCTGATACTCCCTTGCTTTGCTGGAAACAAAATCACGCTGTCAGCCGGAGATCAGGAAATTAAAATGACTGCGCTATTTTTAGCATCATTAAGAAAAAAAAGGCAATTACATTTCTAAAATTCTATTGTTGTTTTAATAAGGCGTTACTAAGAGGGTGTTACACATTAGGGCTCTTTAAAATACTTGCACCTTGACCATGCTCCTTTAATTATCGCGTTGCCCTGGTACACATGCAGGCAGAGGAATTCTGTCACAGTATCCGCTCACGCATTCTCAGTCATTTGGCTATTGCGTCAAAGCAAAGCTACCGAATCGGGTGCGCGCGGGGAGGGAAGGGATTGCCAGGCTGCTGGGACAGAGCTCGTTTTGCTGGGTTATTTAATGCCAAGGAAGGGCAGTCAGGTTATAATGGGGCGTAATTAACACCGCCATACCCTGAATCCTCTTTACATTCAAGTCACATGACAACCTCAAGGAAATGAAAAATTCTTTCCTGCTATTGAAACAGGCAAACAACATCTCCAGCGGATCCCCGTAATGAGAAAATAACAGCTCCTGTGCAGATAAGGTGTCAGAAGCAGAGGGTTTTGTCTACACAACTCCCCCAGGGAAAGCTCACAGGCAGACTCGAGGCCTTTGCTCACCTTTGGGTTTTTTTAGTTTTTTTTTTTCGTTTGTTTGTTTGTTTTTTTTTTTTAAATAAAGGTAATGCTTCGGGCTCAAGGGCTTTGTCAAGACAAGGTCTAGATGATTCAAAGGACCAGAGGTGCGTTACAGAGCTATTTGCTGAGCTCGGTTGTAGCTGTGGCTGGTAGTTGGTCTGAAGAGGCGTGTAGCAAGGAACATCTACTTTTCATAACGCAGCGATGCCTTGTTAGTACTGGCAACAAAGAGGCCAATTACTTAATAGGCCAAGAGGCCCCATTTCCCCCCCCCCCAATGTAAATATTTGAAATAAAGGGATTTTTTTACTTATTACATAACATCCTTTTGATTAAAAAAGGAAAAAAAAAAAAGCGGTAACCCTACCTAGAACAGTAATGGCAGGAAGACACATTTAGCTCCGTGCAATTAGGATTTGCAGGCGGCACCACGGGGGTTCAGCTGCAGAGAGGCAGCCGTCCCTCCCACCCTTCCTTGCAGTTGTCACGCAAGCGCTTCACAGCTGGCAGCCAGGGAGCCCCTGAATCGGGCTCCTTCAGACCCCAAGGTCCGATGAAGCCCTTCCAGAGCTTGGCAGGCACGCCGTAGCAGGACACGTCTTGTCTCATTCCCCCCCTGCAGGGAAGCTCGCCCTTTTAGCATGTGCGCTGGTCTCCAGTACTGCCAGGAAATCTCCTTCTACTGGACAAGTACTTTAAAATCAAATTAGGTAAGAAATACTGCAGTTTTCTAGGGGCCCTCCTGGGTTTCATTTGCTGGTGGACAGAAATCGTTACCGCGCAAGCAAGGATTAGTTTTTCTGGGCTACCCAACTGTATCCATTACCCTTGTCTGAATTAGCAGCTTCAGGGCAACATCCCGTCTGTGCTCTGAAAGTACCAGAAAGGCAGCGGCGCTGAACTGATCCGAGCACCGGCAGCATTTGGCATTCTCCCCAGCGCTGTCTGAGCAAACAAGGCAAAGGGGAAAAAAGCCTGTCCCTCCCTCTCTCCACCTGCCCAGTGACTCAGAACAACTAGAAATGGCAGCTTAACTCTCATTGCTGCCAGAACGCAGAGAGACGTACCCAGCCCAGCGGTCAGAGTGAGGGCACCGGCAGTGCCAAGAAAGTAAGTACGCTCAGCCGTTTCTGGGGCTGGGGGAAGGGATGGGGACACTCGTATCTCTATAGCAACCCCCGCCTGGCCGATCCTGCTAAATGATCGGGAACAAGGGCTGCTCTAAAATTAGATCTTCTAGGGGTCCCTGCACCAGGGGCGATAACTCCGAGACAAAAGAAATAATTCAAACTTCATTTCCCTCTACCTTCACCAAACAACTTTTGTTATCTTAGAAACTTCCAGGAAAGAAAAAAATACGTATAAGCCTTCTGCATTCCTAGTGCGATAATATGGGCGGCCTGACTGAGAGTGAGTGATAAATTCTGGTTGAAGTGATAAAGTTCCAGGTACAAAAAAATCTGCATGTCATGCCCTGCTTTTAAAGAAATACAGAATTTAACACAGCTGATAATGGCTCTGACATGGGCCTCCCAGTCAGGAACAAAAGGAACCGGTGCTTATTCAGGTAGAATTCCTTTGAGAGTGGGTTTGCTGGAACCAAAGAACCAGTCTGCTCTGAACACCTTGGCAAACGGCATCCACTTTAGTAAAAATTAACCAGAAGCCGTGTAAGGGAGCCATGGTGCAGGGAAGAAGACATACAGATACTCTCAGGACTGCAAAAAGCTTGGAAGAGAAACATGACAGAACGAATAGCTGGGGGGAGGAGAGGGAGGAGCAGCCGAGAGAGCTGTAGGACCAGTCATGGCGAGAGCCAGCTGCAGCAGGAAGAAATGACTTTTAAGGGAAGGATGATCACAACTTGTCTGCTTGTTTTCACTTTTATCTGAAACACCTAAATGGCTGGAGCAGGTAGAAGAGGCATTTAAGCCAGAGAGGAGTTAGAGGAACCCATGCTAACCTCAGGGGAACAACTGAAATCCTGGAAAGGGCACAAAGCAGGCTCTGCACCCCAAGACTGCACAAAGAAAATCCCGTTTACTGTAGCACACGCTCTGCTCAGACTTTGAAGACTTTAAGGACTACAGGGCACGCTGAGCTAGGACCCTAATTTAACCGTCTGAGGAGTGCGCGCGCTAGGAGGGAACTCAGTTCCACCTCTGCATAAAGGCGCCCGTTCCCAGATCTCTGCTGAGCCAACAGACTGCTTTTAGCCTGTACTGGTATTTGACAAACAAGCAGCCTCTGGTTTTCAGCATGCGTAGGGCTAATAGCCTAGAACACAATGGTCGGTTTCCAGTTACAGCAGGGAAAGGCTTTAACTTATTCACAAGAACAGGATAGCGAGTCAAATAGCTTAGTAGGTTTTAGAAAGGGATTGGATGTTTGCACGGTGAAACAACATCCACAGCCGTATTAGCTAGGATAAGGGTTACAAGCTCAGCGATCCTCACGCTATGGGACAAAACGATCAGTGGCTGGGATCACAGGCAGACAAAAGCGATAGCCATTCCCTGAAGCTCCTTGCAGCAAGGTCACATGGCCATAAGCAGACACTGTCAGAAACCAGATAACCCATTGTGCAGTTCTAGCTGGGCTAATCCTGCGTGTCCCCAGAAAGCTCCAGAGAGGCTAGGCACAGAATGAACCGGAGAGAAGTCCTTGTTATACAAAAAAAAAAAAAAAGAAAACCAAAAGAAGAAGCTTTATTGGTACGCATCCTACAGAAACAGTTACAAGAAAGGGCCTTGGATTAATCTGTCAAAGAAAACATGGAACAGCTGTGCTCTCCCTAGGAAGGCACCAGCCATAAGCAGGTTCCTTACAAAACAGGGCAGCATGGAAATATACTGGAGGAAGGGGGCAGGGGGAGCGGACACATGGGATTGCCGCTCTGTTCTTCAATACCGATGCATGGGGCAATTTCAAACAATTGAGAGGGGGCCTGGTAAGAACAACCACAAGGTGTTTCCCCACACCAGAAATGGCACTTGCTTTTTACTGAGCTGGTCTCCCCCATGTATAAATACTTGCCCACCAGGATTTTTAGCAAGCTGGGGCAGCTACTAGCAGGGCTTCTGAAAAGGGAAGAGACAGTAATCCTCATTTGCTCTTTCTGATAGTCAGTTCAGGTTTCAGTCCCCACTCAGTCTGTTAATTCTCCAACCCCAAGTATACTACTGAATTTGTACTCCTTTACAAAAAGATAATCAACCGGTTTTCAATAACAGTAAGTCCAGAGATGTTCCAAGACCCTCTTGCCAACCTGACAGGAGGTGTAGCCACATACGGATAGGATCACCTCTTCTTGAAGCCGTACTTTTTCCTTTCGTAGAAGAGATCTGTCTTGGAACTGCCCAGGTTGACGATCTTAGGGCAACCATCTCTCTGTAAGAAGAAAAGAGGATGTAAGTTAGGAGATGGGCAAGCAGAACAACATCATCACTTACATAGTTCTACTAGGTTCTCAGTTCCCACGCTTCTCACCCTGTCCTCAACACACATTTCAAACACCTGTGCAGACAAACCCCTCCAATTCTGGTTACTACCAGCAAGAGAGTGGAACAGAGAAGATGGATGCCTTTTTAACATTACTCTAGGACATTCTCTTCCTCAGGGTGAAGATGGAAAACAGCTTGAACATCAGCAGTTTAATGAAAAGGATGCTCAGTGCCTCAAGACTGGATTCTTTCTAAATTAGGATATGCAGGATTTATAGGGCCCAGAGGAATAACCTTTCCCCCCCCTTAGCCAAAAAGAATCTCGTTGCTTTAGATGTCACCAAGCCATTTTCGTGTTTAGGGACCCCTCTCAGCTGTGACAGCAGAACTGAATCTCAGATTTCCTGCATCCCAGATTGATTATTGCAGAGGCTGTATGGTCATCTTGGGAGAGGACAGGTATTCACAGCAGCTACACGGATAAGTCTTGTACCTGAATTCCAGTAGATGGTGAGAAAAAAGCCACAAGAAAAGCAAGAAGGGGAGCGGGGGAGACCCACCTCAGAGGTGTGGTTGCAAAGACAAATCAGAGATGCACCTCTCGGTGTACCAGGGAACATTTGTCCATGGGCCACCCGAGCCCAGCACCTCCATAACTCTTGAAGGCAAAATGTTGTGGCTGGCAACAGCAGCTGTGAGGAGCCCAGCAGGCAGAGGAACACGTCCTTGGCTGTTGTGCAAGCCCGAGTGGATTAGATTTAGAAAGCCTCTGGGCAGATGTCAGCTGCTGTAGAAACTGGACCAAGCTGCCCCACCGATACCTGCTCCTGTGCAGCAGATGCAACCCAGTGGGGAGGGTCTGCGTGGTAGAAATAACAGGAGAGAGGGGAGAAAAGAAATCATCCCTCCTCCATACACTTGCCACAACCCACCTCTAGCTACTCTCTCCTTATTTGATTTTGAACCTCAATAGTAGGACTCTTCCAAGCCTTGCCTCCCACGATCCAGGGAGTCTGTGACAATCTTGACAGCATTATTGCAGGGCTCTCTTCATTCTTCCACCTCCTCCTAAGGAGGCAGCACATGAGCATGCTCCCATCCCCACGAAAAATTTACTTTTTGCAACTCAGAGCTGTCCTGGGTGACAAAGTGGGATTTGGGCCCTTACCCACAGACCGAAGTGGGGTGAAACAATACCTCATTCCTCCCTCCATCAGAACAAATGAACCAAGAGTAACCAGGCCCTTTGCCTCGTGCCCAACAGCATTCCACCTCCTCCCTCCATTTTAGGGTTTGCTTTCTTGCTTCACTATCTTTTCCAGTCTTTCTAAGGAGGACGGAAGTGCTGTGACTGAAACCTTGGAGTGTTAGAGCTTCACGTATAGAGCTCTGTCCATCTGCTTTTCTTACTCACAGCAGCACCAGCTACTGTAATTGTGATAGGCAGCACACTTAACTTTTCTCATTCCAGGTACCCTACACCTGTGCCAGCACTTTTCAATCCTGTAAGTTAATCATGTCAAATCTGCTGTTTCAGGTCTGCAACTTTACATCTGCAATAATCCCTAACATTTGAGTTTGCTGGTACAGAACAATTGTCTTCACCCACAGCAGCCTTCACCCAGCTGTCGAAATACCTCAGTTCTGACTTGTCATTCTCCTGTTCCTCCAGCTATACGTTTTCTACAATCCTCCCTTGCAGAGCAGCTGGCTATTTCAGACCTGAACCAGACATGATAAGCTACAGGTGAGCTTAGGTTATGAAAAATACCTGTTGGGAATCAATATGAACGGGTAAAAATAAAACCAAGACTATTTTACTTATGTCTTGTCAAGCCAGGTGTCTTGGTTCCAAAGGCAAGTGAACAAAACTACTGTTTCTCACAGCATTTCTAACGTAGGAGGCAGCACCACCATCACAGCACTTATATCCATATTCATATACTAAGAAAGACTATGGTCCTGTCAGATCTAATGACTAAATTCAGATGAGGACCTGCCCCTGTCCTGAATTTAGCTGCAGGCCTCTAGAGAAAACATAGGCACTGCAGAGAATTAAACCAGTAACTCACTCAGCTGAGCATGTTCCTCTAAATCAATCTGAACCATTCTCAGCATGTTCTCCACTGTCATTAGGGTGTGCTGGAGATGGCATCTGCACAGCACCAAACCCCAACCAACCTTTAGCAGACACTCTCACAGCTATCAGGTCCGTATTCCGGGGATGTTGCAACCCTAAGCATCATGTTCTTGCTTCTCCCTAAGGTCTTTCTACCACTTCATTTGCAGTTCTTCACATCCTGCACTCATTGTGTTGGAAATTAACAAACACCTTACAAGGGGTGAACAGCTGCCCTTCATATGCGCAGCGGCTATCTTTCAGCACGAGATGTCTACAACATAGGCCATTCCAGAAAAGAATAAAAAAAGTTAAAGCATATCCCACTGAAATTATCGAAGAATCTTTAAAATTGTAAAACACAATGAGTAGTGCAGACACAGGATGCTAAGATCTAACTTTATGTTGTAATGCAAAGGAAAATACAGGTGGTGATTCTATAGGCCTTACGGTACCGTACGTGCCCTCGGTCAGTGGCTGATAATGGACTTCTGGTGAGGAGCTGCTCCTGCCACTGCCTTTGCAGCGTCTGTAGTATCTCTGACCCTGATAAAACCTAGGCTGAGAGATCTAGCAAGATAACAACTTCAAGCTGTAACAAGCAGCGTGGAGAGGAAGTGAAACGTGAGTGTGTGGTGCAAAGTAGTCAAAGATCCTTCAGGATAAAAAGAGTTACAAAACCTCAAAATGCTACGATACTTCAAAATGCTTTCCAAACAGAGGGAACTACCAACAGGGGAAGAAAGGTACGAGGTAATGAAAACCAGCGCCAATATTGGCAGCGCAACACAAGCGTCCCACGTCCCAACACTAATTTCACTAGCTCCAAGCCCCCTAAAGAGAAGCATGGCTACTAAATAAAGGCATAACCAATTCAAGAGGAGACTGGATGACAACACACATCTTTTTCCTGGATGGTGCACTCCTTGCAGTAGTAGGCATCAGACACTCCTGGACCCCCGCAGATCACACAGCGCCCTTGGTACGAGCCGTAGTTACACTCATCACATATGCGCACCAGAGTGCAGGGCCGCACATAGGAGTCACAGATCACGCATTTGCCGTCACCTGCAAGTACAGCAGAGCCTTTGGTTACAGAACGTCCTTTTCTCCACCCCCACATATAAGAGGAAAAGCTTCCTAGTCAAAGAACTTGCCCGTACACTCAAAGACAATACAACTGAACTGCAGAAATTGATTTTGCAGGCACAGGGTGAAACTTTGTATTTGCACACAGACTTGAGAAGAACAAGGGCCAGTAGCCTGCAATATTTGAGTTCTTTTTTTCTTTTTAATCATGCATTCACAATCAGAGAAGAAACCCAAAGTCAATTCTGCGATTAGCCAACACCTGCTTAGATCATACCGTTACTTTTACTCTAGAACTTTTCCTGTTTTTTTCACTTGTGAAAAAACACTGGACTGACAGGACTAGTGTCCTTACCTACACAGAAGCAGCAGTGTAAGCTTCTCCCACAGTGCCACATCAACAAAAGTCTGGAGTTACTATCCTCAAAGAGATGAGATAAGAGATTGTACTCGTGGTCCTTTTAATCCTTCATCTGTGAGAAGGCCAAAGAAAGGGCAAACTGGCGTAAACAGCCATTTCACAAAAGTTGCTCTTGCTTTCTCACAAGGAACTGAGTGAAACTCAAGTACTCGTACCATACAGGCAAGCAGCCATCAGATGCCATTGACAGTCTCTGCTGTGCTGGACCTTATCCAAAACACTGACCTAGGGATGAAAGGCTTCGTATCCTATTACCAGTTCCCAGGGCATCCAATCCTGACTCCCACAAACAGCTCATCTAACCTGCTCTTAAATCTCCAGCACCCCAGCCCTCAACTACTACCAGTGGGAATCTGTTTCACTGCTGAGTGCTCTTGAAAACAATCTTGTTGCTTCAGACTCCCCGCTTTGCTTATTTTCATACTATGTTTGAGTGACAAACTAGTCATCTTATTTGTTCTGTTCCCCTACAAGGATCTAATGACAGATCATACTCTTTCTTCCCTTCTACAGTTGAGCACTGGCATTTGATTCTGTGGGTTTTTTTCTGGTCTAACTCTAGATGTCGTTTCCTCCCCCCCCCCATTTCTTATTCTCCTAGATGCTGAAGGGAACCTTTCTCAAGGTGTGAAGAAGTCATATTCCAAAAATGCATTTTTTTTCCTGCTTTGAAATGATCAGGCTGATCATTTTGTATTACAGATTACAAGGAATCGATCAAGAACTCACTGTAGCCTCAGCTACTGAAAATGCCGGCAGCATATACTCTAGAACAGCATGCATTTGTGTGACAATGTATTTGAGCACATAACTTTGTAAGTATTCACTGATTTACACTTGCAATACACAAGTAACTCTCCCCATCTCAAAGAGTGACATCAAGTTCGTGGTTGAAGCAAAAATAGAATCCAGTCCCCAAATCCAAACTGTATCCTCTAACCACAACACCACATTCTCAAGCAACTATATGTAGAAGCTATACTTACATTTTTCACAAAGTCTTCCGATTGCTGTAAGAAGAAAAGAAAAAAAAAATTACTTGAGGCAGAAGCAGGAGAAAAATATAACTAACTACAAGCTTGAATGTCAAATAATTATCTTCTGCAGTGAGCAGCCTTTTTTTAAAAAAAAAAACCTAAACAACAGAAAGTTTGAGCATAAATACAAATATATTTATGATAAACAATATATATCCTCCTAGAGATGTTTACCAAGATCAAAGTTTAGATGCACTGTGAATGCATAATGACACCCATTGACAGTAAGAAAACCTATATTCATTATTCCATTTCAAACACAGCCAATGTACTTGACCAAAGGAAATCCTATACATGAGTCTTGGCATAGCTTTTGCACTGGTTTTAATGAGGAAAAAAAAAAATTACAAAAAAAAATCAAGTGTTTATTTGATTCAAGGCAGCCCAACTACCTTCCTCACTTCAGAACACAAAGGTAGTTAAATGTATCTTAGAAGCCTTGTTACTTATCTAGGAAATTCACAACGATGATGTTAGTAACTTGGATAAACGCCATAAATATCAAGTCCTAAAGACCAGATGTCCGCATTCACAAGGACTAAACAGTGATTCAGTTGAAGTTTGAGGGTCAAGGGATTTGTCAGGCTGGAAATGAATTTTCAACACAGAAAGACTGTTAGCTGCATTAACTATTCCAAAGAGAAGTTTCTTATAGACAGTGCAGCTGAATATTTTGTGTTTACAGTTCTTCCAGAAAACTGCATATTAAATTTGCTTTTCCAAGGAGTGAAAAAAAACTGGAAGCAATATCTCAACTTCTAATCTTGTATAAAACTTCTTTAAGACTTAGGAGGACAAATTTTGACCCAAGTGACAAGAATAAAGCTCACTATCTATATACAGGTATAATCTGGAACATAATTATATCTCACAGCCAGAAAGATGCCCCCAGTGCTGGCTGAAGCCTTCAGCTTATTAGCCTGGCTGCACTAGTATGGCCAACACCACAGGAGTAAAGTACATCAAAATCGTATTTTTCTGTGTACAGCCATCATCTTCACCTGCCTCTCCCCCCACCGGAGGAAGAGGAGGCTGCGGTTACGCAGGCGTTAACGCCTTTCAGCCCCGCTGAGAGAGGCCCGGGAGCACCCGCACGTCAGGACGGACCCGGGGGGAAGCGCCCAGGAGAGGGCGAGGGCCAGGGGCCTTCCTCACAGAGCCTCCTCTCCCACCGCACAGGAAGAACCCACAAAACACGGCAGAACATCAAAATAAAGCGAAATGAAAGGGAGAGGGAGGGGCTAGGCGGGTGCCCCTCCCCCCACGCCAGGCCTAACGGCCACGCGCGCGCCTAACGGCCACCATCGGTACAGGCGCGCACCTCCCCCTCGCCCCACAGCGGAGAGAAGGGTGAGGGGGGACCCCCCCGGGACTCACCAACGCCCGCCTGCTTGCGGCAGAAGATGAGGTCCGGGGGGTGCTTGGCCATAGCGAC